ATTCTTGACCTCATTGTTACCAATCTGCCAACTCAGGTGCATCTATCCATGACAGCATCAGTAAGAGTGACCACTCAGTGGAGGAGGCGACTCCATAAATATCCACAATCCTCAAATGATGAGGAAGCCCAACATGTCAGTGCAAAAGATGAGGCTGAAGTATTCAGCTCGAAATGCAGAGTGGATGATCTAGGTCACCCTCCTCCAGTGTTGCCAGCATGACAGATACTAGTTCAACCAATTCGATTCACTCCATGTGATATCAAGGAACGGTAGGCAGCAGTGGATACTGCAAAGCTATGGGGCTTAACGTTCTGGCAATAGCTCCGAAGACACGTGCTCCTCTAGCCAAGCCGTTCCAGTCCACCTTGACTTATCTAAACAACAATGTGGAAAATTACTCAGGTATGTTCTGATTCACGACTGATTACCTCCCCATCAGTCTACTCTCGATCATCAGTAAAGTGATAGAAGTTATCAACAGTGCTATGAAGCAGTACGTGCTCAGCAATAACCTAGGTGACACTCCGTTTGGGTTTTACCAGGGCCGCTCACTTCCTGACCCCATTACAGCCTTGATCCAAACATGGACAAAAGAGCTGAATTCTAGAGTGGAGGTATAAGATATGTGGCCTTGATGTCAAGGCCACATTCGATCCAGTGTGGCAGCAAGGAGACCCTTGCAGAACTGAAATCAATGAATATCGGGGCAAACTTTCCATTGGTTGGACTTATACGTGGCACTTATGAAGATGGTTACGGTTATTGGAGGTTAGTTATCTCAGCTCCAGGACATCTCTGCAGGAGATCCTGCTTCAAATGACCTTCCCTCCACCATAAGGTTAGAAGTGGGGATGTTCACCGATGATCGCACAATATTCAGCACCATTTGCGACTTCTGGTATACTGAAGCAGTCCTTGTTCAAATACAACAAGGATCTGAACAATAATCGAGGCTTGGGGTGACAAGGAGCAAGTAACATGTGCACCACACAAATGCCAGGCAATGACCATTTCCAATAAGAGACAACGTAACTACTGCCCCTTGAAATTCATCGAATGGTGTTACCATCCCCCACCATCAACATCCATATGCATCAACTTCCTCCAACACTGACATTAAATAGCATTGTACTACTTTCGAGATGCACTGCAGAAATTCAAAGATTCTTAGACCTTCCAAACCCATGACTACTTCCATCTAGAAGAACAAGGGCAGTGAATACATGGGAACACCAGCCTCTGCAAATTTGCCTCTAAGCCACTCACTGTCCTGATTTGAACATATATTGCTGTTCCTTCACTGCAGCTGGGTCAAAATCTTGGAATTCACTTCCTAAAGTCATTATGGGTCAATCTATAGCATGTGGACTGCAGGAGTTCAGGGCAGCTCACCTGCAGCGTAAGGGCAACTAGGGATGTGAAATAAATACTGGCCAGTCAACAAAGCCCACATTCCACGAGTGAATTTTTAAAAAAATGGACAATCCCATTTGCACATCTTCAGCAGGTGGTGGAAACCACTTATGCAGGTGAAGTGTGTGTTTAGGAAGAAAGGAACGAGGAGTTAAAAGATCTCCAGAGGATAAATAGTTGATAAAGTTCTAGAAAATCAAATTTTTAAAAAAAACTCTACCTAGTTCTTGTGAAGATAAAAGATGTCAGGAGCTGATGTTAAACACCAACAACGTCAACTGCCATCAATTATCTGCACTATCTTTATTGGTTTTAATTTCGAGTGCTTACCTCCTGGGACAGTTTTGTCTGGAGCTGTTTCTTCCTGCTCAGTTGCTAACAGTTCTGGTCTAGTAAAAGGACAAAAATATAAACAAAATTGATTTCCAACACACTTGTAAAAGTATCTTTCGTTAAGTGCATGATACCTGCAACAGTTGATGATTAAGTAATTGAGGAATCTCAGTAATTTGTTCTACAAGAACATCCGGTCTGACCATCAATAGTGACCAGACGAAATGACACCTTTACAATTACTTCAGTAGAAATGTGAATTCCTTTAAAAACAAATAGTTTAATATGTTAGAAATTTGTTAATTATGTTTCGAAACAAACACATGCATGGAAAACAAATGTTTAGTTTAACAAATCACTGTGAACATACAAATAAAAACTCAACTGGAGCTAAGGCAACACAATGACAGAAGGTCAAGACTACAAATTTCCACACACTGAGCTGCCAACTTTAATTCCGTCACTATCAAAACAAGTAGAAACTGGGGCATCAAACAAACCATTCTGTAATTTATCTCCTCTGACACAGGAAAGGTGCTTCTCCCAAGGTTACTGTATCAATTCTGGAAACTGATGAGATTGAAGGCCGATTAATTCCCAAAGCCTAATAATCTATGTCCCTGAGTACTTAAGTGCCCATAGAAACAGGAGTCATCTTCCAAGATCCTTTAGACTCTGGATCAGTTCCCGCAGATTGGAATGTAGCTAATGTAACTCCACAATTTACAAAAGGAGATCAAGAGAAAACAGGGAGATAGATCAGAAAGTCTGATGCCAGTTGTGGATAAGATGCTAGAATCCATGATCAAGGATTTGATAGCAAAACATTTAGAAGACAATGGTAGGATCAAACACAGTCAACATGGATTTTAAAAAGAGAAATCTTGCTTGACAAATCTACCGAGGGGAGCCAGTGGATGTGGTTTATGTGGACTTTCAGAAGGCGTCCAACAAAGTCCCACGTAAGACATTAAAGCGTAAAAGTAAAGTGAATGGCATTGTGTATTGAGGATAGAAAACTGGTTAGCAGACAGGAAACAAAGAGAAGGAATAAATGGGCTTTTTTCTGAATGGCAGGCAGTGACGAGAGGGGTACCGCAGGGATCGGTATTAGGACCCCAGTTATTCACATTAGTGATTTATATGAGGGAACTAAATGTAATATCACAAAATTTGCAGATGACACAAAGCTAGGTGGAAGGGAATGTGTGAAGAGGATGCAGAGATGTTGCAGTATGAATTGGACAGGTTGAGCAAGTGGGCAAATGCATGGCAGATGCAGTATAATGTGGAAAGATGAGGTTATCCACTTTGGCAGCAAAAATAGCAGGCCTTATTTGAATGGAGTAAATTGAGAGATGGGAAATGTTTAAATGAGACCTGGATGTCCTTATGCACTAGTTGCTGAAAGTAAGCAAGCAGGTGCAGAAGGCAGTGGAGGCAGCAACTTGTATGCTGGCCTTCATAACAAAAGGATTTGCATACAGGAACAAAAGTGCCTTGCTGCAATTATACAGAGTATTGTTGAGGCCACATGCGGAATGTTGTGTGCAGTTTTGGCCTCCTTATCTAACAAAGGATGTTCTTGCTACAGGGAGAATAGTGAAAGTTCAGCCATTTGTTTCCTGGGATGGCAGGATTTACGTATGAGGGGAAATGTATTTGGCTAGGATTGTACTCACTGGAGAGCGAAAGCGAGGGCACAGGGGCAAGGCTGCGTTATCTGATAGTGGTGATGTCCGACAGGTTAGAAGCAGGAAGGGAGTTTGTGGAATTCACAACCAGAGAGTGTGGTTAAGTCCAAAACATTACGTCTTCTCAAGGAGGAGGTAGATGCAAGGAATATAGTGAGAGGGCAGGATTAGGGTACTGAGTTTGATGATCAACCGTGACCATAATGAATAACGGAGCAGGCTCAATGGGTCAAATAGCCTACTCCTGTTCCTATGATACTGAAGGGAAAAAAATGCATTTGCTACTTTTTGTACCTACATAATTATTATATATTTTATACACACAATATATTCCTAAAATACCTGAATTCAAAATTGCGACAACCAACTAATTAACTATCTTTTACTGATGGATCAGTGCTATAATCCCACTAAATTTAATAAAAAAGCAAATACAGCAGTAAAGCAATCAAATTAATTGACTTCCACTTGATGCACACTGCAGTGTAACCTGGAAGTCAAACATTAGTCAGTGCTAAACATGCAACATCACAAGTCAGACACAGAAATATTAGAACGGAGCCATAGCTGATACTTGATCAAACATTTCCTTGAAAGGAAAGAGTATGACATTCACATTAGCTGTTCTTTGTCTTATATTTCACATTTTGGACAGCAATCAAAAAAATGGCAAATCCCTTCTCATGAGGATATCATGGCCAGCACAGAGTTATCGACAACAAGACCCACTTTAGATGCTAGATAGGTCCATTTGCTGAAAGTCTGTAGGTACAATTCAGTAAGCATTAATATCATGCATGATCTACTAACCCTTGTAAACAAGAATATTATTAGAACTTCAACAAGTCAAAATTCCTCTATTAGATGGTGATATCAAAATATATACAAACACAAACTCCAAAATCTTAGTTCAATTTTCATTTTCTAAATCCAAATGAAATTCTTGACATTATGGAGATATTACCATAACAAAATTAGATCTTTTCCCTCACATCCAACCACAAAATCATACTGTCGACCCTGCAGCTGACAATGAACTTACTCAAAAGCAGCGTTTTAATAATTTCATAACAGAGATTATAGTTTAGAGTCATTGAAATTTAGCAGTCACTTCTGGGATTTTTAACCTCAATTAATGATGCTATTGGGTCGGAAGTTGTTTCTATCATTAACAAACCTCGATAATCATATACTACTACTTAAATGAAAATTCCAAGCCAAGTGCCACAATTCACCTTGCTGCTTTTCACTTAAGAACCGAGACTCATTTTACTGTATAGATGTCACATGACAGATCCAAAGACTACAAGAAGAAACTTTAGAAGATCCAACACACTACACTTGCTTGTGTCCTGATTTATGCATTAAAAATGACTAAAAGCCAAGACCATCAAAATGGGTAATTAATTGGAACAAAAACATACTTTTTTATAACGAATTTTATCCGATCTTTTGCTAGTAGGATCCTCTCCAACCTTGGAATGCCATAAGTGGATGGCCGTCTAAATGGAATGCCTTCAGGTAAACCATCAACACAAAGGTCTTCAGAGTTGGACTGAAAGAGTGGATATGGGATCACAACTGGTCCAGTAGCGAGAGTGGCTTGAGCTAAAAGTTTACAGAGTAATGTTAGCTCTAGGTGATATATTTACTGATTTACAATGGCTCCATACAATATCTTCTAATTCCTAACGCTTCACTTCGCAATATAAAGCGTAAAGTACAAGAGAACATCTGTTTTGAATGTGAAGAGAAATATTAATAAGTTGTGGAATTCACTGCATTCTTCTGGAGCAACATCACTCTCAAGACAGCACCTTTCAGGGAAACCCTCTGATACACATTGTAGCACGAGGTTTATTTTCGGAACCCTACCAGTAGTCATGCTGTACAAAAGAACATGTTTCTTTCCTAAATAACTTGATACACTTCAAACTAATTTAATAAAGCAAGTGCACTTGCAGCAAGTTGTCCTGAAGCTAAGTATAAACAGTGCATAAAGATTTTACACTATATAAAAGATGTTCTTTAAAAGATAAAGAAAGCTATTTTTAAACAATTCCAATACAGAAAATGCAGTTAACCATTTAGAAAGCAAAAGAAATATTGTACAGCCAAAACCACCGTTTATATCAGGATAGAAAGATGTTTCTTAGACACAACATCCTCAGGAGGTTACAATCATACAATCTTAAAGCACAGAAGGAAGAAACGTGAGCAATCATTGTCAATTCTCTATAGAGTTTCAAATAGTCCCATTCTCCAGTTCGTTTTTCATAGTCCTGAGTATTTCCTACAAGTACAAGTACAAGTACAAGTACAAGTACAAGTACAAGTACAAGTACAAGTACAAGTACAAGTACAAGGCCAATTCTCTTTTGACCAGAAAAGATTAATCAACTTCTCGCACACTTCTGTGCTGTTCTATGCAACTCACATCATCACTGCCATCTAGGTGCTTTTCAACACCTTTTGGTGACCCAAATCCTTCACTATTTCTGCATTTCTTGGTTTCCTCAATTTACCTTCTGTTCCTTTTTCATCCCCAACCCTTCAACTCCATCAAAACTATCTAGCCATCTCCACTCTTATATATATTGGTTCAATGCTCCTTAATTCTCACATTCAAGCCTCAATCCATTTAAATAATTATTCCAAATCTTTGAAGCTTAGTCTGTGAAATTTAACACTAGCAAAATCTAGTGCTTACCTAAACCTGAACATCTTTTGTCTATCTAGAAAGGGAACATCTAATTTATGACGACTATGGAAATAACAATTTTCATGCTGTAATATTATCAGAGCAAACAATAACTTCTGGAAAAAACAGATAATTCAGTTTGAAATCTATGTACCTAAATCAGCTCATATTCTGCTCCATGTCCTACCTGTGGAAAACATAATCCCAAGACACTATGAATAATCACTTAATCTGCATGCTACAAACATTGCAGAACTTTTTAAAATATGTCTAAAATCACAAGGAGTTTCATAAAAATGATTTATTTGAACCAAAAACTGCCCAACCATTGAGCTTATTCTCACAATTAACATATAACTGGATCTCAAATGAAATCACATCAACCTAAAGGATGTCTTTTCCATTTGTAAAACATACTGATCTGAATCATTTTGCGTAACTGTCCAAAACTCAATGCACTGTAAGATTTCACTAGGGACACATTTGACAGATTTAAAACAACAAGTACGAGATTTAAAGACATCCAAGGGCTGACCGGCTCTTTCATATCATACAACAAACAACAAAAAAACACAAGTAGTACTAATTTGTGCTTTTGAAAAATGACATTTGTTCAGTCAGCTTAATGGTACACACTGTTTAGCACTGCACAATTAAAGTTAAAATAGTTACCATATTTGCTTTCAAAAAGATCTTCAACTTGTTTTCTCAACTCAGTAATTCTGGCATTCCATTGCTCTGCATTTTAAGAAAGTAAGTTTTCAAATTCATGAAATTGGTTCATAAAAACAAAGCATTACTGACTGTAAACAGTGCTCAACAACACATTTATAAATCAGATCTACTGGTAAATTTAGACAGTACAACAGTAACTATAGAAGGCAATTAATATACAAGGAATTCCTTAATCCAGAGTTCACTAATTGCCAGTTATGAGCAACAACAGCAGCAAAGTGGAGATAGAGTAAATCTACAAATAACTTTAAAACATATTTGCTCAAAGTCTGGTCCCAACATTAACACACATGGTAGCAACAAATCTAATTTCTCAATACGAAATAGCAAAACATTGTAAAATCTAAAATTATAATCGCACATCTTCCAAGTTAAAACTTTAAGGCCCAAGTGCAATCATTATTTCTTACCCGATAGAGGATTCATTGAACATTAGAAATAGAGGTTGTTATAAACCAACTCACGCAACAAAAAGTTTCCTTTGGCAAGCTACTACAGTAAGTCCTCACTTAAAGTTGTAGTTGCGTTCCTTAAAATCATGACTGTGTGAAACAACTTTAAGTGAATCAGAGATTCCCACAGGAATTAAGATTTAAAAATAAAGTTTGGTTTTCTCAGATGAGATATCCAAAAGAACTCAAATTGAAATACTGTACTGTATGTGTGCAGTACAATGCATTCCTAGCTGAAATAGCTTGTAAAAATAAATCACTAAATATAAAAGGCATACTGTATAAATGCAAAGTAGATAACACTTACCAGTCTCCTCTTAGGCAGTCTCAGGTTCAGGGATGACTTTGGTTTGATGGATTCTGAGATGGCTGAAAAGTCCAATGCACACACAAGTGGCAGATGCTGCTATATGTGGAGGTGTTGCTTGGAGGGTCAGTTAACAAGCTGTTGGGAAGTTTGTGCACTCACTCTGCAATTTTAATTTTGACACTACACGTTCCCTAAGTCGTCTCTCGGCGCTCAGTACCTTCTTGTACGAACCTTCCCCACATTGTTCAGATCCAACATTGACTGATCAAAGATGCTTTCAAGGCATCCCTAAAGTGCATCACTGGAAGCGGTTTGAGTAATTAATGCCTCAAGGCTGGGCATGTTGGCTTTGTAGAAGACCTGGCTGTTGAACCAACTTTCTTGCCACTGGATTTGGTGCATCTTTCAAAAGGCAGAACTGCTGCAGGTTGTCCTAGTATCATAAACAGAGATGCCAATATCACTACTACTCAGCGAATCATAACCTTAGTCTCAGATTTGAGATCCTAGTCCTCAAATGCTCTTATCCTCAGTCAGCCAAAGACTGAGTTGGCACATAGACAATAAAGTACATCACCACTGGCAATGCCTGCCTTCTTCAAGGGGGAGCTTCAAATTTATGAAGGATGATCTCAAAATCAAAAAGTAGGTGGTGCTGTACTACACGAGTTGGATGGAGGAATGTTTTCTAGGTATTCGTCATGGAAGTTTTTTCTCATGTGCTGTGTGCACAGACATGAGGGTTTTCTGCACACAGAAACTCAATGACTGAAGTTGGAGTGACCTTGGTTTTAAATTTAAGATGACAGGTTGAACAGCCAGGTCTTGATTGAGTTAATGAGATGAAGAGCCAGGATTTTCAGCAGCTTTGAAAAATTTATTCAAGGAGTGCTGGACGGTTTTCTTTTTCTTCTGACGATAGATCTCTTTGTAGCAGTTAATGCCATCATTGATCGCCCTGTTCACTTTGGCACTGCGCTCTCTGTTTGGGTCATCCTCTGTGAAAATGTCCATTGCCTCTTCCATGATTTGGAAAGCTCTAGACAATCGTTTCGTTGACAAAATTTGAGGGAGTGGTGTTTCAATGTGGTCTTCCTCTTCAGCTCGTTGACTCTCTAGCTGCATCAAGTCTTCATTGGACAATTCCTCTCCATGTGACTCGAGCAATTCCACCACGTCAGCTTCATCCACTTCATCAAAACCAACAGCCCTTGCCAAAGCAATGATTTCACGCTGAATTTCAGGGACAGTATCATGAGATCCTCCTTGATCGCTGACACACTCTGGCCATACCTTTTGCCATACACTGTTCAGACACGATGACGTGACTTCATCCCATGAATCAGCAATATTGTTGATGCCTTCAAGGATGTTGTACCCACGCCAAAATTCCCTGACAGATGGTGCATTCTCACCATCTATTTCATAGATGAGCTGGGAGAAAGTACGGCGTAAGTAGTAGGCTTTGAATGTTGCTACTGCTCCCTGAAGCATAGGCTGTAGCAATGGAGCCGTATTGGGAGGTAGGAAAATCACCTTCACATTTTCAGACAAGTCATCAAGATTGATAGGATGACCTGGGCAATTATCCAAGAGGAGCAGTATTTTAAATGCAAGGTTTTCTCTGGCGCAATATTCCCTCCAGGCTGGAATGGCATAGAGGGAGAACCATTCTTGAAAGAGTGCCCCTGTCATCCAGGCTTTCTTGTTTGAACGCCAAATGACAGGATGTTCTTTGGAATGACCCCTCAAAGCCCTCGGTGTCTCAGACTGGTACACCACTAAGGGTTTAAACTTGAAATCTCCTGAAGCATTACCGCCAAGCAGAACAGTCAGGCGATCTTTGGCAGCTTTAAATCCTGGTGCCGTTTTCTCCTCTCTGGAGATGTACGTGCTCTGTGGCATACGTTTCCAATAAAGCCCGGTTTCATCAACATTGAAGACTTGTTTTGGTGAATAGCCACCTTCTTCAATGATTTTCTTCAAATAGATGGAAAATTCACTGGCTGCTTCTGCATTTGCACCAACCACTTCACCAGTCACTTTAATACTATGCAGATAGGAACGTTTCTTGAAACGTTCGAACCATCCACGACTAGCATTGAAACTTTCTGACTGAGAATTCTCACCCTGCTCATTCTGTAGATCATCATAAAGGCTTTTAGCTTTTGCTTGGATGACCATCAAACTAAGGGGCACCTGGCGCTGGTTTTGGTCTTCAATCCATACTGCCAGGAGTCTTTCCATGTTCTCCATGATGCTGCTTCTTGTTCGACTTACCCTGCCAGCACTTAAAGGTGTAACACTTTGGGCACTTTGTTTGATTTTGTCAGCATTGCCACGGATTGTTCTGACTGTCGTAGGGGGTAGTCCAAGTTCTCTACCAATATCGACTGCTCGTTCTCCAGCCTCAAGCCGTTTTAAAACCTCCAATTTCATTGCTAGGGTGATAGTTTTCCTTGTTTTCTTAGCAGCAGCAGACTCACTACCATCACTTGCTGGGCGTTTCTGACTCATGTTTAGGGGTGATTCTAAGGGATTGAAGCACTAAATCACAAGCCTGAAACAATCTCAAAAGGACTTTAATATGGCTTCTCTGCCTCACCTTCAGCAAATGCGTCTCATCGGCTTTAAATTGGCCTCTGTCTCACCTGCTGTACAGTTGACTACAGGCCAGGCTTGGGATTCCAAAATTAATCAGAAGATTGCAGAGTCAGGCTCCTGAAGGGTAAGTACTGCACCTTGTATTTTTCACTCAAAGCCCCAAGACAAGGAAAGCAATTTTACCTCTGTACAATAGTAAAATGTCTCTCTCTCTCTCACACACAGATTTTAAAACAGCCTCTCTGACTCACCCAATGTAAAGTTCCACAGCGGGCATACTTGGGACGGAGTCAAGAAATGGGCTTTTCTACTCAAAGATGAGCAGTTCAGGTTTCAATATCACCCTTGCAATAAAAAAAAATTCAGCTGCTTTAGATATTTTTCACTAAGAACTTTGCTGGAGGTTACTTGTGTGAAAACAAAATCACTGCTCCATCATGAGTAATGAAACGCCTTCTTCTCACACTTGCTCTAAAATGGTGCCAATCGGGTCACATGACCTGACGTCACACCAACTCAAAATGACGCTAATACGGAAGTCAAGACACTAAAATGGAATACCACCCCTCTACTGCGCAATGTTAAATTGGAACGACTTAAAATGGGGCAACTTAAAGCGGGGACTTACTGTACCAACTATAATGACAATGGAAAGCCAAATTGCCAAGACCATGAAACAGTACAAGTAACATACAACCCATATGGACTTTGTCAATGGTCACTGCACATCAAATCAATCTGTTAAAAGTCATTCATTATTTTAAAATATTTTTGGATAGGCTATTCAGGGGGTTTTGAAAATCCAAATCGAGTGAAAATGTATTCACACGTAAGCCTATAAAATACGTAAGTTAATTTCTAGATTATTAATGAAGTTGACTACCAGATAAATGAAATCCAACAGGCCTCTGGTGACTTGTCTCTTGATTGTCTTGCAATTGAAGGCAATATTTTCAGGTGAAGAAGTCACTATCAACTCACCAAAATTAAACTCCCTACTTTTCCGTTTCACCATGGTCCCAGCATCTGTTGGCTGTACAGTATTCCTTGGCCGTTTATTTGGTGGAAAATATTCATCATCTGAAAACAAAAAATAATTGTATGAACTTTGTTTTTAACCTTATCCATGGAATTAAATTTAAAAAAGTAGACACTTCATATTCATCTGAATAGGGACAGCCTTTATACACCTGAAGGTCTGATCTATACTGTACTTTTACTGATACATTCACATATTGATTCAATTCTGGAATCCAATGTGTAAGTACCATCATGTGGTGATCATTTTTGACTTGTTTAAAAGTGATTCCAAGGAACTGAGGCAAACAATCACAGCCTTAATATAACAATATCATGATACAGAATCAACACGAAGCCATTATCAAAATAAGCTGTCTACAGAACTTACATTGAAGTCTATGTATATATTTCACTTTATGCCAATAGGGGTGTACGCAGAAAAAAAGTACCATAAAGACAGCAAAAGGGAGAAAGAACTAGAAAAATATACTTTGTGGGGCAAGCAGAAAGCTCCAAAAGGGAACAAGATATGGTACAAGATCATGCTTTTCAGGTGTTAACCAACCCATTAGAGTGAGCTGTTCTCTATTTAAATAACACTACGTTAACAGAAATGGCAAAAATTGCGCGAAGTAATTTCCACTAACACAAGAATAATCTGTATATTTTGCTTACTGAGAAAGAATGGATTTGCAAATTGAACCAGTAAACCACCTCACCTAGTCTTAACTTAATCCACCGAATCATACAGTGCCCTTCAGCCCATCAAGTCTGCACCGACAACTAGAGAAACACCTAAGCTTCAACCTAATCCCGTTTATTAGTACTTGGTCCATAGTCACTTTATCAAATTACCCTGAATTGCCTTCTTGATAAGTCTTCTAATGGGAGACCCTGACAAAGGCTTTGCTGAAATCCATATAAACAACGTCAACTGCACTATCCTCAGTTATAGTGTAAATCTTGCAGCTGCTCCCGAGATTGCAGGCTTAGTTAAAGATAATTTATAAATACATGAATAGGAAAGGTTTGGTGTGATAATAGGTTTGGTGTGATAATGGGCTTGGAGTAGGCAGGTGGGACTAGTTTAGTTTGGAATTACATTCGGCATGGACTGGTTAGACCAAAGGGTCTGTTTCCATGCCATATGACTATGACATGCCTAGTCACTTTCTCAAAAAGGTCAATCAAATTTTCTATGCATGACTTCCCTCTTACAAAGCCATGCTGACTATCCCTAATCAAGTCTTGGCTCTAAGTGGAGATAGATGTTTTCATTCAGAACTTTTTTCCAATTCTTTTCTACAGTTACTGAGAAGCTGAAAAAGTAGGTGCCAAGCGAGATATAGAAATCCAGTCCAGATGACAATTATATTTCAGAGCAGTGCCCCGAGAAATGAATCAGCAAACAAATGCCACCTTTGTTCAGTTGAAACAAGCATAGTGTGTGCACACGTTCTGTCTACAAAGAACAGGGCCCTGTGAATTAAAACACGAGAAAACCACCACCTGCAAGTTAACTTCCAAGCCTCTCACCATTCTTGGAAAATGTTTCGCCATTCCTTTACTGTCACTGGGTCAAAATCCTGGAATTCCCTCCCTAATGGCATTGTGGGTGTAACTACAGCACACGGACAGCAGTGGTTCAAGAAGGCAGCTTACTACCTCCTTAAGTGCAACTAGGGACAGGAAGTAAATGCCAGCTCAGCCAGCAATCGCCCACATCCCACAAGTACATTTTTTAAAAAATACCTTCCAGTACACGGAAGTGAACCACTCTGCAAGCCCAACTGACAATCCCAAACTGGGTTTCATAGTAAATCTTTGCCTGATCAGAATAATCCAGCAATATCATCCAACTGCAGAATCACATCTAATTTTGGATACTATGTTGCTGGTTTTGAAAGCGTGGGCAGGTCGAGTGCTTGTTTGTTGTGAGCAAGTAAAGGGGTAAGCCATTTGAAATAATCCTCAGCCTTGTGGATGTAGAGCCTACCTACCTGGAATTGCTAATGCATTATTAACGCTGTGTTTTTTTTCTCTTGAATTGGTATATTTTACGAATTGTCCTGATGCGCACAAGATGAAAAGCTTCAATAGGATGCGCCTTTTTTCATCAATACTCAAGTACAGTGGGAATAAACAGATCCTTTGCAGGATGACATGCTGCTACTAGTTACTAATCCCAACCCAAAAGGCAATTGCTTGGTCCACAACTTTTCACAATCTATATAAATGATTAAGATGTTAGGACTAATTGCAATAGTTCAAAATTTGCTGATGGCATCAAATTGGATGGAATGCAAGGAGGCTTCAAGAGCACTTGGAAAGGCTGTGAACAGGCTCCAACGTGGCAGGTGAACTATAATGTGAATAAACGTGACCTTATTCATGTGGTAGGCAGAATGTTGCTTAATTGATAAGACGTTGGGAAGTACAGATGTTCAAAGACATCTGTCCATGATTTACTAAAACCCAACAAGCAGTTGCAGCAATTAAGGGGACATTTCAGTGGATCAGAGGACAGAATCAAGATATCTTTCTGCAGTTGCATACAGCCTTGGTGAGACCACACCTGGAGTGTAGTGTACAGTTTTAGTCTCGTTATGCAAAGAAACATTTGCCGTAGAGGACGCACAATGGAGGTTCACCAAATGAATCCCTGGGATGGCAGCTATGTCCCATGAAGAACGATAAGAGAAATGAGATCTGTACTCTGCCCCTCATTCTTTGAAAAGCTGAATCTTAAAGAACAAAGAACAGTACAGCACAAGAACAGACCCTTCGGTCCACCAAGACTGTGTTGATACATGAAGCCTTTATAAACTAAAAACCTTTTGCACCTCTACATAGTACATATTCCTCTATTCCCTGGTTATTCATGTATCTATCGACATGCTTCAAACATTGCTATTGTATCTGCTTCTACCATCTCATCTGGCAGCGCATTCCAGGCACTTACCACCCTGCATAAAAATAACTTGTCTTTCACATCTACTTTAAACTTCTCCGCTTTTACCTTGCGCCTATGTCCCCTATTAATTGACATTTCTACCCTTGAAAGGGACTATAACCAACTATTCTAACCAATTTTGAGAGCTTCAATCAGGTCACCCCTCAACTTCTGATGTTCAAGTAAAAACAAACCAAGTTTGTCCAATCTCTCTTCATAGCTAATATGCAACAAATGAAGCAACATCCTGGCAAACCTTTCTTGTATCCTCCACGTCCTTCTGGTAGTGTAGCTAACAGAACAGTACACAATATTCCAAATGTGGCTGAACTAAAGTACTATACAGCTACAACAGGACTTCCAATTTTTATACCCTATGCCCCATAGAGCATAGGTGAGAAATCACACAACACCAGGTTATAGTCTAACAGACTTATTTGAAAACACAAGCATTCAAAGTCTTACTCCTCCTTCAAGTGTTAATGGTAGAACTAGTATCAGGCACAGAATTCATAAGTAAAAGATCAAAGGATCACACCATTGAGGAGGATGTACTAAACAAATTAATACGTATGTCTAAATCCCCGAATTCCTTTCAAATCCCTGTCCTGTGAAAACTAAAGGTTTTATCAGTGTAAAGAAGAGGTGACGTTTTAGGTCAGACAATGCATGTTAGGTGTGAGGCCTTGTTTGGAATCTGTTGTGTTTTGGTTTGGAGACTGACTAGTTTTATTTCTAAAGTAGGAATTTATAAAACGCCACACATTGACTAACTAAACTCTGTGCTTTATAGAATGTATCTGCAAATACAAATTCACCCCATAGATTCACGTGTGTGCGTGTGCACATGCACGGGGGAGATTGCGAGACTCCCCCAGCGCACGTGCGCGCGCACAGAGAGAGAGTAGGTGTGTAAGCGTGCGTGTGTGCGGCACGTCCAAGAGGGTACTCTTCATCGTCCAGTACTTCCCCAGAGCAGAGAAACTACACCACGTTCTTTGCAGCCTTCAAAACATTATTGATGACGATGAGCACCACACCAAGATCTTTCCCATGCTTCCAATTCTTGCCTTCAAAAACCGTCAAACTTTAAACAGACCATCATTCGCAGCAAAACTACCAGCCTTCAGGATAACATCAACCACAACACGATACAACCCTGTCATGGCAACCTCCGCAAGACATGTCAGATCTTTGACATGGACACTACCATCACATGTGGGAACACCACCCACCACGTGCACAGCAGATACTCATGTGACTCAGCCAACGTTGTCTCTCTCATACACCGCAGGCAAGGATCCCCGGGGGCATGGTATATTGGCAAAACCATGCAGACACTACGACAATGGATGAATGGACACCGCGCAACAAAATCGCCAGACAGGGATCTTCCCTCCCAGTGGGGGGTCACTTCAGCAAGTTAAGGACATTCGGCCCCGGATCTTCGGGTAAAGTCCTCCAAGGCAGACTTCAGGATACACAACAACACAGAGTCGTTGAGCAGAAGCTGATAGCTAAGTTCGGTATCCATGAGGACAGCCTTGACCGGGATCTTGGGTTCATGTCGCACTACACCACACACACACACACTCTTTCCTCGCTCTCTCCCCTACACACCACCACCACCACCACCACCTCCCCCCACCCAACACACACACACACACACACACACACACACGTGAATCTATGGGGCGGATTTGTATTTGCAGATACATTCTATTTAGTTCAAATAGCACACGATTTAGACACAGTCAGTCAAGGCGGTGTTTTATAAATTCCTACTTTAGAAATAAAACCAGTCTGAATCCAAACCAAGACACAAACGGATTCTAAACAAGGCCTCACACCTAACATGCATTGTCTGACTTAAAATGTCACCTCTTCTTTACACTGATAAAACCTTTAGTTTTTCCACAGGTCAGGGACTTGAAAGGAATTTGGGGATTTAGACATACATATTAATCAATTAAAAAACCTTCTAACTGATTACAGATTTAAAAGCATCTTAGGTTTGTTTAGTTCACCCTCAATGGTGTGATCCTTTGATCTTTTACTTATAAATTCTGTGCCTGATACCAGTTCTCTCACTAATACCTGAAGGAGG